TTATTTGTCTTTCATTCTTTCTTCCTTTCTTGTTTTTTTTCTTTTTTGTTTTTATTGTAATCATAATATATAGTATACGTTGAAGAAAAAGAACAATAATAAAATATGAATAGAAACAAAAGAAAAAAAAAAGAAAAAGAAAAGAAAAGAAAATTCAGGAGATGTGAGAACAGCTGTTGCGCGTTAGTTCAACTTAAGAATTTCTACGTTGATACTTCGAGGATACTTTAAATTCGTTATAAATTAGGTTTTCTTATGTTCCCGTATAAAATATGAGGGTTATTCGAAAAGTTCGTACCGATTTTCGGTAGATGGCATAAAGTTCTTTTGCTGAAACAAAACAAAAACCTGTGAAAAGTTTTGGAAGAGATGAAATTTGGAAGTTAACCTTAAAAATAGTGTAAAGGTTGTTGAACAAAATCACGCATTTATATATAATTTAATAAATATTAACAAAAGACTCTAATTAATCTTTTTAATTATTTAATTAAAATTTAAACTAATAATATATTTAATTAAAAAAAGAAATAAAACTGTTAAATGCGTTGCATTTCAATTTTCCGTTAAAATCGGCAATCGAACTTTTCGGACAACCCCAATAGTTTGTCATTTAAAATAATTCAATAATAATTAATAATAATTAATGATTTTTATTTTTTCATTCTGATTCTTAATTAAATTTTTTCAAAACTATCGAACACTATTAAAATTATACTAATCCATAAATCCTCATATATATCATCATCATCATTATCAAACTTTCACGTGTATTGATTTCTATCTCTGAATATCTTTTGAACGTTTAATTTAATCGCCAAAACATAAGACACCATTTTTATAGAGCACTTAATTTTTTACAAAAATTTCTATTGCACATTTTATAATAATCATTTATTGTCGAGTTATAAAATTATTCATCAACAAAAATGAAATTTGTCTTATATTTGTCTAATCAAACTTAAATCTTCAATATCATTCAAATGGTGAGGTTTATGGAAAAAATATAAGATACCTTTTTTGTAGAGCATTCAATTTCCTACAAAATTTGTCTAGAACATTTTTCTCTACAATCAATAAATAATGAGTTATGAATTTTATTCTATTAGACTGAAAAAAAAAAAAAATAAAAAACTGCGATGCGGAGGATCTTCCAATTAAAATGAAGAGCTCATATTTGGTGAGAATTTTTTTCGGGTTTCTACCAACCCATTTTTTCCGTGGCACTTGTAAACAAAAAAATAATTGATTTTTTTGACCCATCCTAATATATATATATATGAATACTTACGTTTTCAATTAAAATTTCATAGCAATTTCATTTTGTTTTCTTCAAAGGAAAAAAAAAATATTAAAATAAATAATATCATCGTACGTATGAAATTTATGCAAAAACTCCCATATAATTGTGAATTTTTAAACAATATTATAATTGATTATATATATATATATATATATATATA